AAAATGACAAAGAGAAGGAACAAAACGCAATCTCAGGCCTTGAGTCCACCCAGAACAAATGCAGAAGACACTAGCATAGAAAAAACTGGAAATCAGAAACCTGAAATCTCTGAAATAATAGCTTCTGAAGTAAAGAAACTACAAAAAGATATAGAAGAAATCAGATCAGAAATAATTTCTGAAATAAAAAAGAACTGATACCTATACTGAAAGTACTAAGTGCTTCTAAAGAAGACACTGATACCGCAAAAAAATAAATAAATAAATAAATAAATAAATTAAAAAAAAAAGAAGACACTGATTTAAAAAAATAGAGCAGAATACAAAAATGATGGAATCCTTGAATAAGCAATACAGGAAATAAACAGAATGCATGAAACAGATCCAAAGTGATATTCAGGAATTTAAAATCTCAATCACAAGCTGACAAAACCGCTGAATGAAAGTGAGAATAGACTTTCAGACCTTAAAGACACCATTGCAGCTAGTGAAAAAGAAAGAAAAGATCTCTTAAAAACAACTAGGATGCAGGAAAAAATAATTCAGTACCTGCAAAATGATACAAAGATGAACAACATGAGACTAATAGGCATCAATGAGAAGGAAGGAGTCAATATAAATGATATAAAAAGAATATGGGAAGAAGTAATAGCAGAAAGCTTCTTAAATATGGGGAAACAATTTGACATTCAAGTAACCAAAGCATATGGAACTCTAAATAACAACCCAATTAAAACCACACCCAGACACATAATAATCAAGATCCCAGAAATTCAGCATAGGAACAGTATACTAAAAGCTGCTAAAGAAAAGAAATATCACGTTTAAAGGAAAACCCATCAGGATAACAGCAGCTTTCTCTTCACAAACCATCGAGGCAAGAACAACATGGAGCGAAGTACTTCAAGTCTTGCAAGAAAACAAATTCCAACCCAGACTCATACACCCTGCAAAACTCTCTTTTAGTATAATGGAGAAGTGAAATACTTCCATGACAAGGAACAACTTAAGAATTTCATGATGACAAAGCTAAACCTACACAGACTACTAAAAGATGTTCTAGAGAGGGAGCAAAATGACCACAACTCCATGAACGAGAATGGAAAGAACCCACCACATAGGGCAAACAATTAAAATAGGAGAGTAAGAGGTATACAAAAGCAGTCTTTCAGTTATTCTTTTGTACACAGCAGCAAGATATTTCCATCAGCATACACTACAAATGGACTTCTCTTGCACCCTATGTGTCATGATTCTGTTTGGGTCTACAGGGTGGATATCAAGGAAATAGCAGTAGCTCACTCCCACAAGTGACACCTGGTCACCAGTAAGTGTCATGGACATTATCCATGTCCACAACATACTAGAACTTTGTGCGATATCCTATCCCCAAACTGTTAGAAAGGCTGGTTATCTATTTGTCATTCCAGTATTTATCTTATGTTTTATCCTTAGTACTTCTTTACTATCATGAAAACTTTTTCTTAGTTCAATTGTTTTGAAACATTTATTTTTAATTAATT